TTCCGCAGCGCAGGTTTTTACCCCGGCGTTCGCGAGCGCTGATGGAGCGGTGGGTTCGGAGTGGGCAGAGGGGTAAACAGAGCTATTCGGAGGCACCGGGAGAAAGAGGAATGGTACGCAGGCTTGACCGGTTGGGTTCCCTCCAAAAAAACCAAAAAAAAGCCATGAAATACTGGATAAACGCAGGAGCACAAGAAGGCTGGAGCACTGAGGCCAAAGGGTCCGTATGCCCCAGTATCCCATCGCCAGCTGTAGCCAGAGGCAGATGCTACCGGAAAAAAACAGTGTAAGAAAGAGGGCGAGCGCGCAGTGAGCCTCCCTCTCCGGTACCTTCCTTGTCTCCCACTCAGAGGTGTAGGGGCTAAGCTGTGAGCCCAGGCAGTAATACGTTACCTTTCCTCAAAAGCAAGGTCTAGTATCATAAAGGCATTCGTGCTAGCAGGTATTTCTGCCTTTGGGATCTGACCTGTGCTACATCCTTCGTCCTCAATTAATTCCCAGTGTCCTAGCACCTCTGCTGCTCTCCAGCCTTCAGAGCAGTTAGTTGCCTCTGTGAATTGTATGCCCCATTGGCTTGTAAGAAACGCTGAGAAATTTCAATGACTGAAAAATCAAAAGGCTTGTCTAATACAACAGCACCCTCTTCCAAACACACTGACGTTGTAATGTTTAAACAGCTGCATTGTACCGTGCAAAAGCTCTGTCAAGCCGCAGAGCAGCCAGCATGATCTAAACCTTTAGAAAGAGAGGAGAAATATTTCTGATTTCTGCCCCACGAGCATGTGAAGTGTCCAGGCTCCTTCCATCTAATCATCAAAAGTGACTGTGAAGTGAAGTAACCTAAAAAAGTTCTGGTTTCTCTGAGAGAAAAAAAGAAAGAAAAGAAAAAAAAAAAAAAGTTGCAAACATGTGAACATCCGGAGGTGACTAAAAACACAGAGGACTTCTGGATCGAAGATACATGATAGCGTATCCAGTAGGGAAGAGCAAAGTTACTCTTGATGTCCACAACGCAGCTGCCTGTCGTACATATTTTCCTCAGTGGCTGCAGCCAAAGTTCACAGAACTAACATGAAATTTAGGAGTCAAGAGTCATTTTAAGAATTCTTTTCTGTAATAGTAGCCTACTGCTAGGGAAGAGGCAAAGCCATCCAGAGTTATTCTTTAGCAACCAGTTCAGAGTGATCCAGTTTCTTCTCATTCTCTGTGTTTAAAAAACAGAGAAGAAGGGAGAGTGGGAGCACTTGGTACCACAGGTCAGGTTACGGCTGCACTCTCAGTTTCCAGACCCAGCTCCCTGTTAAAGGATCGGGATGATGCTCTCGTTTGGGTCAAACTTGTAAAAGATGTCTGCAACTTAATACAACCTAAACACAATATAAACCTTGCAGCTCTCTATTTCTGCTGTTGTAAGAGCCCCTGCTAAGTCCCTAGTGATGTCACCTCAAGTTTTGCTCCTGACTTCCGTGGGCTTTAAATCAGGCGTGAAGAGTGGTGGGGAAAATCCACCTCCCCCTTGGCCCCAGGGGGGAGCAGGCTCCTGGCATGGCCCCAGCGCGGGTCCAACCCCAGGGACTCTTCCCACCTCCCTAGTGCTTTGCCTTTCCAAGCTGTCACATTTTGAAGCCCTGTTTCTTGATGCCTGTTACAAACTGTAACATTATTTCTTTCTCCTCATTTTTGGGTTTTTGTTATGTTGTTCTCTTTTTTTTTTTTTTTTTTTTTTTTGGTGGTAGGCAAAACGAAGATAATGAAGAATTTTTGCCAACTGGAGAAACCTCCATAGACTCCTACCCAAACTGGTTAAAATTCCACATTGGCATTAATCGGTACGAGTTGTATTCCAGACATAATCCTGCAATTGAGGCTTTACTACAAGACCTGGTCTCCCAAAAGATAACCAGTGTTGGTATGTTTGGATATGTATCATTTTTTGTGATTATTTGCTCATTGCTCAGGATCTCGTTGCTGTTTGAATATTAATAAGTATTTTGCATGGCTTCTCTCTGGCGTGCCTACAACATTGCGTTCCGACTTCTGCGCTCATTTTCCCTGTTAAACATAAAGGAACATCGCCAGCTCTGTATTACCTGAATAATTGAAAACTCTCCCAGCAAGGCAAACCCCATTCATTTCAGAGATCTTTTAGTCACAGTCAGGCTGTAAGTGCCCTATTTGGTTATATAAAATAAATATGCTAATTTTAAAAAGCATGGCAAAAGTCAGATAGCATCTTGCACGAGCTATATTTGTCTTATTAGTTGATTATTATTTAAAAGGCTGTGTCTGGCAGCGCTCCTCTTCCCAAGGCAGGAGAGAGGCTGCTGACCTGCAGCGATGGCTGCGGGAGCATCCGGCGCCGCGGGGCTCAGCGGAGCTGCAGCTTCCCCGGGTGCCGGGCAGGGAGCTCCAGGCGAGCTGGCCTCCAGCTGAGCAGAGTTCAGCTCTGTTTATTCTGCTTGTAAATCAACAACGGGGATGTGCCCATGTTAACCTTTGGCTCTGGTTAAACAAGGTGACACAGTTTGGGGCTTTTCTCCAGGGCTGTTTAATGACAACGTGTGTCTCCTTGAATTTAGCTGCGTAGCTACGCAAGGGAAAAAACCCACAAGCCCAAACGAAAGCCCTGGGTTACTAAACAAATGCACACCCCGTGGTTTCCAGAGGTAGAGAGTCGCCACACAGCCAGCAGTTTCTGTCGGCCGTGCAGAAAATGAAGTTACTTGCACTGACCACAAAGTTGCTAAGTCCGTTTCAGAGGGATGAAATAGCCGGAGCTCTGTAAAAGTGCTGATGGTGTGCTGGCACCGCGGGATGAGGTC